CCTCACCTCTTATGCAGTGACCAATTGCAGGCATCGATTAGTTTTTCTTAAGGACCTTATAAAAACTTGCCTTTCTCACTCCCTAGCATGGGATGTTGCATCTCATGCCATAGCATGAAACCAGCAGAAACCAGCTCAACGTGTATCTGTACATAGAAGTATGTGGTGAAATCTTGACCAATGGCAGACAGGAATCAATGGATAAATGCTTTCTTCACTCCAGTGTAGTTCTGAAACACTTTCATAAGGCTTCTCAAAAGGAACCACAAAATCAATCAAATCCAGGCACACCATGAAAGCCAGAAGACCTCTAGGGCAGTGTAGCCACTGAGCAGACGGTGCTAAAAATCAGTCCCAGTATCTAATCATAAAGGTCACAGAGCAAAAAGGAATGCAAATGCATAGCCTTGAAATGGCACCCATGTCAAAACCAGGGCCTTCATAGGAAAATAATGAAACTCCGGAATCTAGAATAGGAGCATTTACATGGGCTTTATAATCTTAAATACCAGATTTTTTTTCAGCCTCTGAGCCAACAGCCTCTTTCCTATTGATAATGGAAAGCTGTTTCCCTTGTCTGTAAATACTCAAAAAATATACCTAAAGAGGAATGGTTCATAATATAACTTTTATTTTCTTCACTATCCAGCCCAATTACACCCCTGCCCATTGCCTCAACACCATAACCAGGTCATATCTCAGTACAGTCTACGTGGGAATTGAAATCCCTGCTCTGGAGAGAACTAGACCACAACTGGTCATCTTTGACAATCATGACATTTTGCACTGGACAAGCGCTTTCCTGTGGAGGGACATCGAGCATAGTAAGCACCTCTGGCATCTACTCACTAGATGCCAGTAGAACCCTCTCAGTAATAACAACCAAAAATGTCTCCAGACATGGCCAACTGCCCCCAGGAGTAAAATCACCCCTTGTTGAGAATCACTCAAAAGAATTGAAAATGGGCTATCACATGTACCAACAGAGACAAAGGAGTGTTGTAAGAATAAATATTTAGAGTATTTGACCAGAGAATAAGATAATAATGCTGGGCAGGAGAATGTATGATATGGATCCAATTTGTGGTTTAATGTTTTGGCATGAACAGGTGGAATACATCCTAATACACAGTCTTGGTATCTCCTTAAAGACTGGACATGATGGGCTGGCAGAGTGGCTCAAGTGGTAGAGCACCTGCCTAGCAGGTGTGAGACCCTGAGTTCAACCTCTAGCAGTGCCAAAAAAGATTGGACATGATGATAGCCTATGCCAAATGAGATTTGAATGAGCACTGAGTCCACAGGCTCAGAGAAGCAGTAATTTTAGTATGAACTTTTATGTGAGAGTGGAGAACCAACATTAGACCACATTTCCTACATGGAAAGATGTCGCTACTGTGAAATTAAAAGTACTCACCTCTTGCATACGTTGCCCAGATGGTCTGGTGTGCAAGTGGCCCTGATATCAGGCCATTTGTTCCAGCAGATCTGAAGATGTTAGAATGATATGTGGTAAATAAAAGCACTATGTGAAATCTGTAGGTAGCTCCAGTAAGAGAGTTGCAGCATAAGTGCCTAGTATTCTGCAAGGCCATGTCTTCTGAGGCAGAGACAATTCTCCAGTGGGAAAACTAGGGCAATCTATCAAGAGCTGCAAATGCTCAGTTCCACCAAGTCATAAGTGCTAGGTTTAGCACCAATCTATTGAAGTATGGGTGTCATAAGGCCTGAGCACACCCAGAAAGCACAATTACATGGATGGGTAGCTCAGACTCCCCCAGCACTTACTTTTATAGCACTAATATCTCTTCTTCAACTTACTCACTTGGAGTTCTTTATGACTACCTAATAAGAATAAAACTTTTGAGTCTGGCTCACATATGGATTGGCACATCATGTTGGTGGGTACGTGACATTGTACTGCTGCTACACTCTTGCCCCACTCAGGGATGGCCCTAATGAATAATACCCTGTAGGGAATCTTTCCAGTAGGCAGAGCTTGGAGAAACACACTTTATTGTTTACTTTATATAGAGGGGAAAGTAACCTGAAATAAAAATATTTATAGACTCTGGGATTTGTCTTTCTTGCCCACAGTGATTTGGCCAACATCCACAGTCACCAGAATTATAACTTTCTTGATCAACATTATTTCAACTAAGGAATCGATTTTGCAGTCCCCCTCCAAAAAAGTGGCAATATACACATGACCATAAGATCTACTGATATTGCCATATCCTTCATCATTCAAATACACTTCACCTTATAAACTGGTGGAATAACCTGTTACAGGCTCAGCTACTGTGCCCTTTTGGGATTGAGGTGTTGTATTACAGAATGTGTTCAGTGATTGAACCACCAAATAAAAGTTCAAGGCTTGGCTTCAGGAACCCAGGAATAGGAACAGAATCAGTCCATCTTATCACTCCCAGTGATCTGCTTGAACAATTTGTGCCTTCAGTTCCTCAAATTTAGGCTTTAGTGCTAGATTGCAATAATTGATTCTCCAAGGAATGAGCAGAGGATGCTTCCACTAGGATACACAGTATGGAATGCACTGAACTTGAAACTTTATCACTTGGGTCACTTGCAGCTTCTCATGGCAGGGGACCCGCCTGCAAAGAAAGAGGTTACTACGCTCCTGGGAGTAATGAACTGTGATTAGCAAAAGCATCTGGGATTGTTGTTACACAGCAGCAGTAGGGAGGAATTTATCTGGAATCAAAGGAATTCATCTAGCCTTATTTGGGTGGCTCTGTACCCTGGGATAAGTTGAACAGGCAATTGTAGCAACCAAGAGTCTTATAGAACAAGGTGGAAGCACCAGGTTACTTCACAATAGAAACAACCTACATCAGCTGATGTGTTAGCCAATGGTGAAACTTACCATGGTTACTGGAGGAAGGAGTTAATGACTGCAAGTATGGTCTTAACATAAGGGCATTAGTGGAAACTGAGTTAGTTATTCCACTAACTCTATTATAGTTATTCCTTGCAGAGATGGTGACTGTCCATCATCTTGAAAGGACCCATGTGAAGGACTGAGCTTAATGGAGGCATGGCAGATCAGAATGGTGCAAGGGGTGGTCTGAAGTGGACAGCTTTTGTGTCCATGTCTTTCTACACATTTTCTCTTACCACTTCCAATCCCTTCAGCCTCTTATTTCAACAACAACCTGCTCTGAGCAGGATGAGAGTTTTTGGTAAGTGCAAAGAAACAGCACCGCTCCTCTCAGCACATCTTTGATGTGGACATAAGCCTGAAATTCACAATTGTGCATTTTGAAACTATGGATTAGTTAATGCCCAGGGGTATTAACCTTTGATCAAAGAGGGGCAGGAGCTGATTCATAAATGTTTACTCCATTATTTCTGCCACGGACAAGTTCTGAGAATCATTTCATAAAGCCTTTTAGGAGGTTTTAAGGAATTTAGGAAACATTCAAACGTGGTGATGACCAACTCATTAACTCCTCCTTTGATTGACTCTCCCTCTTCTATGTTTCATTTCCTTCTTCTTCCCTCACTTTTGTTTCCTGGGATCAAATCCTCAAAAAATTACTGCAAATAAGCCTCATTTCCAGGAGAATCCAGGAGTGGAGGAGAGAAAGGAGAATCAAATTTTGGACACATAAGGTGTAGATAGATGTCTATGAGCCATCCAACTGAAAATGTGAGAGGTGGGATAGCAGGTACACACTATCTAAGTTCAGGGGAAAAGGTTCTAGACTTCTGAAATGCAATTCAGTTTTCAACTTTGAGGACTGCAATATGCAGATAAATAAACTAGGATGGAAAAAAAAAAGCACACACAATTGTCATACAAAGTGTCCACAGTAAGCATTCCAGGACTTAGCAGAAAGGACCTAAGGAGTCTACAGCCATACCACCCTGAACACGCCCGATCTCTTCTGATCTTGGAAGCTAAGCAGGGTCAGGTCTGGTTAGTACTTGGATGGGAGAAAGGACCTAAGGCGTATTTACAATGACTGGGACTAGACACTGCTCTAAAAAGGAAATCAAAAATGAAAGTGAAAAACATTCCAAGTAGCCTTGTCTAGAGCATTATTAATCTCAGTAACAAGCAGTTCCCTACTAGTTCTGCTAATTTTCACAAATTCTATCAGCTAAACAGTGAAATATTCTTGGCACAACCCTGGCACTTTCTCAGTGAATCCATCACTGGCAAATAAATGAGTTACTCCCTCTTTTGCATTCCCCTTGCCTAGTCCTACCAGTTGTGAACTCCTTCAGGGTAGAATTAACGCTTGAATCACCTTTGTACCTGGAATCCAAGTGCCTGGCATAAAAACAGGTGCCAGGAATGTGGAACAAATGAATAATCTGTCTCTGAAGCCAGCAATAATGGCATTATCTATGCCTCTCAAACTTCAGTATGTATAAGCATCATCTTAGGACCTAGATTCTGGTTCAGTAAATTAGATATGATGTGAGACGAGAGGTTGTATTTTCTAAAAGCCCTCAAATGACATCTAACCAGCTAGTCTGTGAGGCACTGCTTGACAAGATCATAAGAACCATGGCTCTAGACTTTAGCTGAGTATTAGAATAATCTGCGAAGACATTAAAAGTGCTGATATCTAGGCCTCTCGCCCCCACACTCTGCCAGGCCAGAAACTCTGATTTAACTTATTTCAACTCTCCAAGCTTTTAAGTCGCAAGGATCTAGAGTTAACAAAACTTTTATAAAAAAACAAAACATATTATCAGCTCTCTTTTTAAACGAATTGCCGCAAATATCAGAATGAATGCTTCTAAAGAATGGAAATACACACACAGAAGCAAATCCCCAAATTCCTTGGTGCGCCCGAAGTTCCTGGACACTCTCCCCCCAGCGCGACCCGGCCCCGCCTCTCCACGCCCGGTGGAGCCCCGCCCCCTCCACGTCTATTGGTCGCTCCCTTTCCCCACCGCCTCTACTTCCTTCTCTATAGGGCCAACTTCCGGCGCGGAGTTTGTCACGTGCCCGGATACAGGAAGTGGTGAAGGAATGGCTGCTTCCCGTTCGCCGCTTCAATGAAGGGCACAACCTACTAGTGGTCGCCACCCCAGCCCCATCCGCTCTCGGTCTTGGAAGAGCCGCCTTGGCACAGCCGGGCTCGGCCCAGCCTTGCGGTAAGCTTGCGGCCGCGGCTGCACGGTAGTCCCGGCGGCGGCGGACTGACGAGCGGACCGGAGGGCACCGTGTCGGAGGCGGCCCCTCAGTCCTATGCTTCTTCCGCGTCGGGTGTTGAGCACCAACCGCTCCTTTGGTGATTAAGCCCACATCTCCTTCCCCGCCTGTCTACGTGAGGTGCAAAGTCCGGTGGCATCTTCCATCTCTGGCTGTCCTGAAATTTAGGAGAATGCAGAGATGGAAGGGCATTCCTCGGGCGTCCCCTCCATGGTTCCACCTATCGGGTCCAGATTTTATTGGTGCCTTTGGCGTGGGCTAGGAGAGGAGTGCGTGATTTGTCTTCCCTTTGCCCAGAACAACGTGCTCTTCTGAGTCTGTCTGCATGTCCCTGCCCCTGTGCAGTTTTCTGGATAAGGTGTCTTTACAGCCCACCCCACACACGCACCCACGCAGTGTGATGGCCCTACTGAGTTTAAGGAAACACCAACCAGCATAGACTGAATGCAGTGGCTAGCTGCCTCTGCAGCGTGGTCGGGCGTGGGGTTTGAGATCTGGAAATGAATTTTAGAGGACCACTACTGATTTCTTTACTGAGGTACAGAAAGTATTGTAAAGATTGGAAAGTTAATTACTAGACCCAAAGGCTGTCAATGCCATGGAAGCACGGGTCTTCATGTCTTCACGAACTTTTATGTACCGTTCTGCACTATGACGCAGAGTAGAGCCTGGCAGACATCAGTGTTTGCTGAGTGGGTGAATGGTCACATACTGCTTTTCATTTTGCCTAACTCCTTTGTGAGGTATGTCCAGTCCTCTCTTGTTTTACCACTTAACCCTGCACTCAGTTGTTTTAACTAAAGAGAAACTGGTGTGCTAAACGTTAGCCACGATTTCCCGTTCATTTGATCAGCTTTTACTGTTCAGTTCAGGTTACCTGAAGAGGTATTTGTTAAGTACCTACTAAAAACACAAGACTATAGCAGAGCATCTCTCTCCTCCCTCTGTTTCCCTTCACTCTTTAAAGAGGGCTGTGGAGAGCCATACAGGACCTTATGATCTCATGAACCAATTAGACGGCGAGTTCTTGATTGTTTCATAAATGCAGTGAGAGCTATAGAAACTTAGAGGCAAGATCAATTTGAATTAAGAGCTTTATTGAATCAACTTCATATAAACTGGAAAATGTGATTAGGATTTGGATAAGGAGGAGATAATATTTCCTGCATAGAAAAGTGCCTAAGCAAAGATTTAAAGCCCAAAATGAACAGAGTGCTTTGAGTGGAAGGTTGCTGTTTGGGAACCTTAGGAAAATGTTAAGCAAGGGCATCCTGGTGTGGTGTGTTGAAAATTGTTTTAACTAAAAGGGGGGTAGGGGCAGTGATCCATACCTGTAATCCTAGCTACTTGGGAAGTAAAGAGCTGAAGGATCACAATCTAGGCCAGCCAGGCAAAAAAATGTAAGTCCCTAGCTGAAAAATAACTGAAACAAAAAGGTCTGGGGGGTGTGGCTCAAGTGGTAGAGTGCCTGCCTAGCAAGTTTGAGGTGCTGAGTTCAAACCTCAGTACTGTGCAAAAAAATATTTCAGGGTTGTGGAAGTTTGCAAAGAGATAACCAGATGCTATCACATAAAGTTGATATAAACCTTGGTTAGTGTGCTGGCAGTGGAAACAGAAAGAAAGATTACATTATATGTACATGGGAGGAAGTCACAGATTATGTAACAAATTCCATGTTGACAATGGCAGAGGTATCAAAAAAGACATTTAGAATCTGGACATTTGCTTATAGATGTGAAAGTTGGACAGGGGAACTCTGGAGGGAACTACACCTGTTGTGTTACTGTAATGCTATCTTGTTTGTTCATTTAAACATTTATTAAATACCTACTATGTGCCTTTTGGCAAGTATTAGGAGTACAAAGGTGAATAAGATACAGTCCTTCCCTAAAAAGAAGTAGGTTTAATGGAGGAAAGAATGCAACTAGAAAATGCAAGCTAGAAAATGCTGCTCATAAATGCTGTACAGGGGAAAAATGTAGACGAGTAGAAACAGAGTTTTCTGGGGGGAGGGGACTGTTCCACAGAAAAGGCAACATTTTGGCAGGAGCTTGAGGAATGAGTTGGAATTTTCCACCGAGAGGAGTTCCAGAAAAAGGAAGTTGCATGAACAGAAGCCTAGAGATAAAAGTAAAGCAACCACTGTCCACTATGGCTTGGGCAAAGGATGGAATAGAGCTTTAACATAGCGTCTAGACCTTAGACCCTGTTAAGGCATTAGTAATTTACTTTGTAATAGTCAGAATGGAGGTTCGGATGGATGAAGGTGAAGAAGAAAGCAATTGGGGAGAATTGCTTCCTGATATCTTTATTTTCTGCAGGATAGGTAGTGATGTCTTTTCTAGAGAGGGAGGAGGCTGACACTAGAGTTGGGGACTCATGGAAAGTAATAAGGATTTGCAACAATAGCTATAAGGTATGGGAAAAGGAATCATCAAAGGAAGTGTTAGCAGGGCATGGTGGCTCATGTCTGTAATCTCAACTACTTGGGAGGTGGAGATAGGAGGATCAGGTTCGAAGCCAGCTCCAGTGTGTGAGGGGGGGTATTAACAAGACCTGTCTTAAAGGACAAGTCAAGTATGGTGACTAAGCTATGCTGTAGGTAGAAGTAGGAGGATCATCATTCAAGGCCAGCCTGGGCAAAAAGCAGAAGGCTCTATCTGAAAAATAACTTAAAAAGAAAAAAAACAGAAGTATTAAAGAATGCTGAGCAGCATAAAAAGGTAAATTTAGATATTTGTAATACAAATATGGCTTTTTAGTTTTTGTTTGTTTTTTTGCAGTACTAAGTCTTGAACTCAGGTCCTTCACCTTGAGCCACTCCACTAGCCCTATTTTTATGAAGGGTTTTACAAATAGTTCTTTTAGAACTATTTGCCTAGGCTGGCTTTGAATCACCATCCTCCTGATCTCTGCCTCCTGAGTAGCTAGGATTACAGGCATGAGCCACTGGCACACAGCAATTTTTAAAAATTTTGTATTTGTTTATTTTGAGACAGGGTCTCAATATGTATACCAGACTGACCTCAAATTTACAATCCTCCTGCCTTAGCCTCCCAAGAATGTGTGGCTTTAAAAGGTAACCTATAGCCTAAGAGAATTGGGGGAAAAAATACAACTCTATGGAAATTGATAAAATAGGAAAAACTGGGCTACAAATGGTAAAATAATTGAGGGGGATTGAGTTGGTGTAAGGAGATGATCACTGGCTCCAGGCTATGCTGGAAAATAAATTAGGCTTGGAGAGTCTATGTAGACCAAGAGAATAGAAAGGAAGGGGAGGTCAGAAGACTGGAGGCTGGGGTGAGATGAAAGAGGGGTGGAAATGAGAAGATGGGATCATTGTGAGAGAAGAAATTGTTGGAGTTGGAGCAGAGTATAGATGCTTCACACATCAAGTAGAATATAGAAGAGACCTAGTTTACAAAAGTGTCACTGAGCTGTAGAAATGTGTTGTAAATCATTGTAACTCATAATTTCTTCCTTTCCCATTGGAAGAAATGATATAATTAGGAGAGATTAATGCCTAGACAAGACACATAAGTGAAATACTGCACATTTGCACTGGAAAATAGTGATATATATATACACAAACATAAAATTATTTTATTTGAGTTTATTTTTATGAAAATAAAATTGGGGAGCTAAAATATTTTAACTCAAGTTGATGTTTGAAGAAGATACTGAGAAGAAAAAAAGGTAAGTGGAAATCTGTTGTTGAGACATAATTCATTTATGAAATTCACCTTTTCAAGTGTTTCACTTATGGTTTTAGTGTGTTCACAAGTTTTTACAGCCATCACACTATCTAATTCAAGAACATTTTTATCACCCTAAAAAGAAACTCCATACCCCATTAGTGGTCACTTTTCACTTCCTCCTTCCTCTCCAGCCCCTGGCAACTACTAACCTTTTGTTGTTTTGGATTTTTCCCACTCTAGACATTTCTTTTAAGTGGAATCATATGATACACGGTCTTTTGTGTCTGGCTTCTTTCATTTAGCATGATGTTTTTCAAGATTCATCAGTGTTATACCCTGTATCAATATCCATTCCTTTTTTATAGCCAAATAATGTTCCACTGTGTGCATGTTCCATATTTCGCTCATCTATCCATTGATGGATATTTTTGGCTATTGCAAGTACAGTTAGCCTTCCATATACACAGGTTAGCCATCCACCAATTCAAACAATGACAAACTGGATTTGGGGAAAATTTGTGTTTGTACTGAACTTGTACAGAATTTTCATTCTTGATGTACCCCTAAACAGTACAGTATAACTATTTATATAAAATTTACATTATTTTAGGTATTATGAGAAATCTAGAGATTATTTAAAAAGCATAGGTTATATGCAAATACTATGGTATTTTATATAAAGGACTTGAGCATCTGAGGGTTTCAGTATCCATCTGGGTCCTAGAACCAGTCCCCCCAGATCCTGAGGGATGTCTGTCATGCTGCTATGAACACTCACGTACAAGTTTTTGTGTGGTGATATATTTTCAGTTCTCCTGAAAGTGGAATTGCTGGATTGAATTATAACCCCATTTTTTTTATCTTTTGAGGAACTGCTAAGCTGTTTTCCAGAGCAGCCACACTGTTTTACAGTCCCTCTAGCAGTGCATGAGAGTTTCCTTTTCTCCACATCTTCATCACCACTTGTAATCGTTACCCTGAGTCCTTTTGGTTTTAGACATTCTGTGGATGTGAAGTAGTAGGTGTCTCACTGTGATTTTTATTTGCCTTTGACTGCTGATAAATGATGTTGAACTTCTTTTCATGTACTTACCGACTAATTGTCCATCTGCTTTGGGGAAATGTCTATTTAGATCTTCTATTCAATTTCTATTTGGGTTATTTGTCTTCTTATTAGTGAGTTGTAAGTGTTCCTTATATAGGAAATTATATTTGAAGACTGAGCCTGCACTTTAATTTTTTTCCTTAGATCTATGTGTATGAGTGTGAGTGTGTGTGTGTGTGTGTGTGTGAGAGAGAGAGAGAGAGAGAGAGAGAGAGAGAACTTAGCACTCCTGAAGGTTTTAGAGTGCTCTAATTTCATTTCCAAATTTACAGCTTTATATTTTTATGATGTAGATATACAATGTATTAAACCATTTTCCTATGCCTATTAGCCAAAATTATTTTGAATCATGAATGGAACAATATAAGGTGGAATTATTTTTAGAATGAGCTTAATGTCTGTACCCTCAATTCTTTCAGCTGAGAAAGGATGACAGCAATCAAGCATGCATTACAGAGAGATATTTTTACACCAAATGATGAACGCCTGCTGAGCATTGTGAATGTCTGCAAAGCAGGAAAAAAGAAAAAGAACTGTTTTTTATGTGCCACAGGTGAGTACTGAGTAAGAGAAAGTACTTGTTTGGCATTCTTTTATTTCTTAGAGGACATTTCCCTCTTTGAAAAAAATATTGTCAGCCAAGCTTAGTGGTGCACATCTGTAATTCTAGCACTTGAGGCTGAGACAGGAGGAGTCTGTGTAGCAAGTTCCAGGCCAACCTGTGCTATATAGTGAGACCCTGTGTCAAAAAAAAAAAAAAAAAAAAAAACTCATTGTGTCTGTAATTGGAGAAATTGTTGGACCAACAAATTAATTTTTAGTCGTTTAGTATAAAAATTCTATAACCCATACATAAGATGTGAAGACAAATCATACAGACAGCACTCGTGTACTCAGCACTCAGCATGAGCTCCTTCCAGTCTTTGGTATGTCCTGTGCCTTTCCTTACCCTGTTCCCCTCTCATCCGCTAAGAGGTATCTGATACCCTCAATTGTAGTTGGCATTTCTTTGTTTTTCTTTATCCCAAAGCATAGGTTCCAATTTCAAACAGCATATTGTTTAGTTTGCATTTCTTTGAACTCTAAATAAATAGAATTATAATGCATATATTATTTCTGATTTTTTTCCACTCAGTGTTGTGTTCATGGTCATGAGTTTGAATTTTGTTCTTTCATATTTGTGGTTGAGGTGTGTCCTACTGTGTGGGTGTACCATAGTTCATGTACCCATCCTACCAGTGATAAACATTAGGTTTGTTTCCTGGTTTTGCTGTTCAGACGGCTCTTTTGTGAGTGTTTGGTTTTATCTCCTACTGTATACAGCAAGACTTTTTTTAGGGTAGATAACTTAGATGTGGAAATGTGGAGTCAGATGTAAGTGAATGATCAGCTCTGCACTAATTCCAAATTATTTTTAAGAAATTCACATTTTCACTCCCACAGTAGTGTGTATTCTCTACATCCTAGTCCACAGTTGGTTCTGACAGACTGTTGCTTGTTGCTAACCTGGTGGGAGTAAAAAATCATATTTCATTGTTGTTTTAAATTGCACTTCCCTAATTTAATAATGACAGTGAGCAGCTTTTCATGAATTTCTTAGCCATTTAGTTTCTTTGTTTATGAAATTTACCTATTTAAGCCTTTTGCTCACTTTTCTGTCGTGTTGACTGCCCTTTTATGGATTTGTACAAATTCTTTGTATAACCTGGATAATAACACTTTGTAGATTCTATGCATCCCAGTTTGTGCTTTTTTCACTTTTTATAATGCCTTTTAATGAAATTTATAATTTTAACTAAATTTGATTTGATTCTTTATGACTTCTCTTTTTTACATCCTTTTTCATCTTTTATGCGCTCATAAAAATACCCTTCTATATTACCTTGTAAAAGTTTTATCATTTTGCCTTTCACATTTTAGTCTTTACCTGTGTCTGCATCTGTAACCTGTGTATGTCTGTTTCTGATTTCTCTCTTTTTTTTTTCTTTCTTTATTTTTTTTTTATTTTACTATTCATATGTGCATACAAGGCTTGGGTCATTTCTCCCCCCTGCCCCCACCCCCTACCTTACCACCCACTATGCCCTCTCCCTCTCCCCCCCACCCCCTCACTATCCAGCAGAAACTATTTTGCCCTTATCTCTAATTTTGTTGTAGAGAGAGTATAAGCCATAATAGGAAGGAACAAGGGTTTTTGCTGGTTGAGATAAGGATAGCTATACAGGGAGTTGACTCACATTGATTTCCTGTGCGTGTGTGTTACCTTCTAGTTCAATTCTTTTTGATCTAACCTTTTCTCTAGTTCCTGGTCCCCTTTTCCTATTGGCCTCAGTTGCTTTTAAGGTATCTGCTTTAGTTTCTCTGTGTTAAGAGCAACAAATGCTAGCTAATTTTTTAGGTGTCTTACCTATCCTCACCCCTCCCTTGTGTGCTCTCGCTTTTATCATGTGCTCAAAGTCCAATCCCATTGTTGTGTTTGCCCTTGATCTCATGTCCACATATGAGGGAAAACATATGATTTTTGGTCTTTTGGGCCAGGCTAACCTCACTCAGAATGATGTTCTCCAGTTCCATCCATTTACCAGCGAATGATAACATTTTGTTCTTCTTCATGGCTGCATAAAATTCCATTGTGTATAGACACCACATTTTCTTAATCCACTCGTCAGTGGTGGATCATCTTGGCTGTTTCCATAACTTGGCTATTGTGAATAGTACCGCAATAAACATGGGTGTGCAGTTCCTCTGGAGTAACCTGTGTCATGGTCTTTTAGGTATATCCCCAAGAGTGGTATTGCTGGATCAAATGGTAGATCAATGTTTAGCATTTTAAGTAGCCTCCAAATATTTTTCCAGAGTGTTTGTACTAGTTTACATTCCCACCAACAGTGTAAGAGGGTTCCTTTCCCCCCCATCCTCGCCAACACCTGTTGTTGGTGGTGTTGCTGATGATGGCTATTCTAACAGGGGTGAGGTGGAATCTTAGTGTGGTTTTAATTTGCATTTCCTTTATTGCTAGAGATGGTGAGCATTTTTTCATGTGTTTTTTGGCCATTTGAATTTCTTCTTTTGAGAAAGTTCTGTTTAGTTCACTTGCCCATTTCTTTATTGGTTCATTAGTTTTGGGAGAATTTAGTTTTTTAAGTTCCCTATATATTCTGGTTATCAGTCCTTTGTCCGACGTGTAGCTGGCAAATATTTTCTCCCACTCTGTGGGTGTTCTCTTCAGTTTAGAGACCATTTCTTTTGATGAACAGAAGCTTTTTAGCTTTATGAGGTCCCATTTATCTATGCTATCTCTTAGTTGCTGTGCTGCTGGAGTTTCGTTGAGAAAGTTCTTACCTATCCCTACTAACTCCAGAGTATGTTTGTGGTCTGATACTAAGATCCTTGATCCATTTTGAGTTAATATTGGTATAGGGTAATATACATGGATCTAGTTTCAGTTTTTTGCAGACTGCTAACCAGTTTTCCCAGCAGTTTTTGTTGAAGAGGCTGCTATTTCTCCATCGTATATTTTTAGCTCCTTTGTCAAAGACAAGTTGGTTATAGTTGTGTGGCTTCATATCTGGGTCCTCTATTCTGTTCCACTGGTCTTCATGTCTGTTTTTGTGCCAGTACTATGCTGTTTTTCTTGTTATTGCTTTGTACTATAGTTTGAAGTCAGGTATCGTGATACCTCCAGCATTGTTCTTTTGACTGAGTATTGCCTTGGCTATTCATGGCCTCTTGTGTTTCCATATAAATTTCACGGTAGATTTTTCAATCTCTTTAATGAATGTCATTGGAATTTTGATGGGAATTGCATTAAACATGTAGATTACTTTTGGGAGTATAGACATTTTTACTATGTTGATTCTACCAATCCATGAGCATGGGAGATCTCTCCACTTTCTATAGTCTTCCTCAATCTCTTTCTTCAGAAGTGTATAGTTTTCCTTGTAGAGGTCTTTCACATCTTTTGTTAGGTTTACACCTAGGTATTTGATTTTTTTGAGGCTATTGTAAATGGAATTGTTTTCATACATTCTTTTTCAGCTTGCTCATTGTTAGTGTATCGAAATGCTAATGATTTTTCTATGTTGATTTTATATCCTGCTACCTTGCTGTATCTATTGATGATGTCTGGAAGCTTCTGAGTAAAGTTTTTTGGGTCTTTAAGGTATAGGATCATGTGTCTGCAAATAGGGATATTTTGACAGTTTCTTTACCTATTTGTATTCCTTTTATTCCTTCTTCTTGCCTAATTGCTCTGGCTAGGAATTCCAGTACTATGTTGAATAGGAGTGGGGATAGTGGGCATCCTTGTCTGGTTCCTGATTTTAGAGGGAATGGTTTCAGTTTTTCTCCATTAAGTATAATGCTGGCTGTAGGTTTGTCATATATAGCTTTTATAATGTTGAGGTACTTTCCTTCTATTCCTAGTTTTCTTAGAGCTTTTATCATGAAATGGTGTTGGATCTTATCAAAGGCTTTTTCTGCATCTATTGAGATGATCAAGTGGTTTTTGTCTTTGCTTCTGTTAATGTGGTTTATTATGTTTATTGATTTTCGTATATTGAACCACCCCTGCATCCCTGGGATGAAGCCTACTTGGTCGTGGTGAATAATCTTTTTGATGTGTTGTTGAATTCGGTTTGCCATTATTTTGTTGAGGATTTTTGCATCAATGTTCATTAAGGAGATTGGCCTATAGTTCTCCTTTTTGGAGGTGTCTTTGCCTGGTTTTGGGATTAGTGTAATACTGGCTTCATAAAATGTGTTTGGCAGTTTTCCTTCCCTTTTTATTTCAGGGAACAGTTTAAGAAGGGTTGGTATCAGTTCTTCTTTAAAGGTCTGATAGAATTCAGCAAAGAATCCATCAGGTCCTGGACTTTTCTTTTGGGGGAGACTCTTGATTGCTGCTTCAATTTCATTTTGTGTTATAGATCTATTCAGGTGATTAATTTCCTCTTGGTTCAGTTTTGGATGATCATATGTATCTAGAAATCTGTCCATTTCTTTAAGATTTTCAAATTTATTTGAATATAGGTTCTCAAAGTAGTCTCTGATGATTTCCTGGACTTCCATGGTGTTTGTTGTTATCTCCCCTTTTGCATTCCTGATTCTACTAATTTGGGTCTTTTCTCTCCTCATTTTAGTCAGGTTTGCCAGGGGTCTGTCGATCTTGTTTATTTTTTCAAAGAACCAACTTTTTGTTTCATGAATTCTTTGTATGGTTTTTTTGGTTTCTATTTCATTGATTTCAGCTCTTATTTTTATTATTTCTCTCCTTCTATTTGTTTTGGGATTTGCTTGTTCTTGTTTTTCTAGGAGTTTGAGATGTATCATTAGGTCATTGATTTGGGATCTTTCAGTCTTTTTAATATATGCACTCATGGCTATAAACTTTCCTCTCAGGACTGCCTTAGCTGTGTCCCATAGGTTCCGGTAGGTTGTGTTTTCATTTTCATTGACTTCCAGGAACTTTTTAATTTCCTCTTTTATTTCATCAATGATCCATTGTTCATTAAGTAATGAGTTATTTAGTTTCCAGCTGTTTGCATGTTTTTT